ACCGTCTCGAATAGCGGCCGCGCTCGGGGACCACCCCCTGCGCACCCCCTATGGAATCGAGAAAGTGCCACGCCTACTATGCCCTGGACGACCGTCTCGGATAGCGGCCGCGCTCAGGGACCACCCCCTGCGCACCCCCTATGGAATCGAGAAAGTGCCACGCCTATTATGCCCTGGACGACCGTCTCGGACAGCGGCCGCGCTCAGGGACCACCCCCTGCGCACCCCCTATGGTGTCGAGAAAGTGCCACGCCTGCTCTGCCCTGGACGACCGTCTCGGATAGCGGCCGCGCTCAGGGACCACCCCCTGCTTATAAGTGTCGAGAAAGTGCCACGCCTGCTCTGCCCTGGACGACCGGCGCGGATAGCGGGACCACCCCGTGCGCACCCCCTATGGCATGAAAGGATCGGCTCGGTTCGGTTCGGTCCGGTTCTGCAGCCGGGTCGGTTTTGCTTGGCCGGTTCGGTTTGGCATCGGTCCGGTTTCGGCCGGTTCGGCTGGGGCCTGCCGCCAGTTCGGTTCGGTTCCGGTTTTCGCGCGGTTGGGTCCGACCGGTTCGGTTCGGTTCGAGTGGCCGCTCCGGCTCGGTTCGGCCCGACTGGTCAGGTGCAACGTTGGGCGCCCCGTCTGCGTAAGCGACGACCCAGTTCGAAAAAAAGGGAGGGAGGATGGGGGAGGAGGAGGAGGAGGAGGAGGAGGAGGACGAGGAGGAGGACGAGGAGGAGGAGGAGGAGGAGGAGGCGGAGGAGGGAGGAGGAGGACGACGAGGAGGAGAAGGAGGAGGAGGAGGAACGTGGAGGCGTGGAGGCGCGAGGCCCTCCAGCGACGTGCCTGGCGAGGTGCCTCGCTGCTCGGCGCCGCCGCCGCCGCGGCCCCGTCGTCGTCGTCGTCGTCGTCGTCGTCGTCGTCGTCGTCGTCGTCGTCGTCGTCGTCGTCGTGGTCGTGGTCGTCGTTGTCGTCGGGGAGGCCCCGGGATCGTCGGTCGGGGGGGGGCCCCCCTCATCGGTTTCCCTCGGAGGTGCAGCAGGGCGCGGCGAAGACGACGACGACGACGACCCCCCCTCGCGGGTGCGACCCCCCCTCGCGGGTGCGACCCCCCTCGCGGGTGCGACCACCCCTCGCGGGCTGCGACCCCCCTCGCGGGTGCGACCCCCCTCGGGGCTGCGACCCCCCTCGCGGGTGCGACCTCCCTGCGACCCCCCTCGCGGTGCGACCCCCCTCGCGGGTGCGACCCCCCCTCGCCGGGTGCGACCCCCCTCGCGGTGCGACCCCCCCCTCGCGGTGCGACCCCCCTCGCGGGTGCGACCCCCCTCGCGGGTGCGACCCCCCTCGCGGGTGCGACCACCCTCGCGGGTGCGACCTCCCTCGCGGGTGCGACCCCCCGCGCGGGCGCGACCACCCTCGGGGCTGCGACTCCTCTCGCGGCTGCGACCCCCCTCGGGGCTGCGACCCCCCTCGCGGGTGCGACCCCCCTCGCGGGTGCGACCCCCCTCGCGGGTGCGACCCCCCTCGGGGGTGCGACCCCCCTCGGGGCTGCGACCCCCCTCGCGGGTGCGACCCCCCTCGCGGGTGCGACCCCCCTCGCGGGTGCGACCCCCCTCGCGGGTGCGACCCCCCTCCCGGGTGCGACCCCCCTCGCGGGTGCGACCCCCCTCGCGGGTGCGACCCCCCTCGCGGGTGCGACCCCCCTCGGGGCTGCGACCCCCCTCGCGGCTGCGACCCCCCTCGCGGGCTGTGACCCCCCTCGCGGGCTGCGACCCCCCTCGCGGGCTGCGACCCCCCTCGCGGGTGCGACCCCCCTCGCGGGTGCGACCCCCCTCGCGGGCTGCGACCCCCCTCGCGGGCTGCGACCCCCTCGCGGGTGCGACCCCCCTCGGGGCTGCGACCCCCCTCGCGGGTGCGGACCCCCCTCGGGGGGACCCCCGTCGCGGTGCGACCCCCCTCGCGGGTGCGACCCCCCTCGCGGGGCACCCCCCTCGCGGGTGCGACCCCCCTCGCCCCCCCCTCGCGGGTGCGACCCCCCTCGCGGGTGCGACCCCCCTCGGGGCTGCGACCCCCCTCGCGGGCGTGACCCCCCTCGCGGGTGCGACCCCCCTCGCGGGTGCGACCCCCTTCGCGGGTGCGACCCCCCTCGACCCCCCTCGGGGCTGCGACCCCCCTCGCGGGTGCGACCCCCCTCGCGGGCGCGACCCCCCTCGGGGCTGCGACCCCCTCTCGCGGGTGCGACCCCCCTCGCGGGTGCGACCCCCCTCGCTGCGACCCCCCTCGCGGGTGCGACCCCCCTCGCGGGTGACCCCCCTCGCGGGTGCGACCCCCCTCGCGGGTGCGACCCTCTTCGCGGGGTGCGACCCCCCTCGGGGTGCAACCCCCCTCGCGGGTGCGACCCCCCTCGCGGGTGCGACCCCCCTCGCGGGTGCGACCCCCCTCGCGGGTGCGACCCCCCTCGCGGGTGCCCCCCTCGCGGGTGCGACCCCCCTCGGGGCTGCGACCCCCCTCGGGGCTGCGACCCCCCTCGTGTCCTGAGGTCCTGGGGTCCTGGGGGTCCAGGGGGGTCTTGGGGTCCTGGGGGTCATCGGGGTCGATTCGGGAGGTTGTGGGGTCATCGGGGTCCCGGAGTCCTGGGGGTCATCGGGGTCTTGGGGTCCAGACCGGAGGGGAAAGGGGTTCGGTTCGGTTCCCGTCGGTGTCGGTTCAGGGGCCGCCCGGTTCCGGTTCGGTTCCGGTTTTGGTTCGGTTCGGTTCTCGCCGGTTCGGTTCTGAATGAATTCGGTTCGGTCCGGTTCGGTTTTCTACGTTTCTGGTTTTGGACCGGTTCGGTCCGGTTCGGTCACGGTTCTCGGTTCTCGGTTCGGTGCGGTCTTTTCATGCTATGGTATCGAGAAACTGCCACGCCTGCTACGGCCTGGACGACCGGCGCGGATAGGGGGACCACCCCCTGCGCACCCCCCGATGGTCTCGGTACTCGAGCCACGCCTGCTACGGCCTAGGGGGACCACTGCGCACCCCCTATGGTGTCGAGAAAGTGCCACGCCTGCTACGGCCTGGACGACCGGCGCGGATAGGGGGACCACCCCCTGCGCACCCACTATGGCGTCGAGAAACTGCCACGCCTGCTACGGCCTGGACGACGGACCACCCCCTGCGCACCCCCGTCGAGAAACTGCCAGGGGGACCGGCGCACCCCCCTGCGCACCCCCTATGGTGTCGAGAAAGTGCCACGCCTGCTACGGCCTGGACGACCGGCGCGGATAGGGGGACCACCCCGTGCGCACCCACTATGGCGTCGAGAAACTGCCACGCCTGCTACGGCCTGGACGACCGGCGCGGATAGGGGGACCACCCCCTGCGCACCCCCTATGGTGTCGAGAAACTGCCACGCCTGCTACGGCCTGGACGACCGGCGCGGATAGGGGGACCACCCCGTGCGCACCCACTACGGCGTCGAGAAACTGCCACGCCTGCTACGGCCTGGACGACCGGCGCGGATAGGGGGACCACCCCGTGCGCACCCCCTATGGTGTCGAGAAAGTGCCACGCCTGCTACGGCCTGGACGACCGGCGCGGATAGGGGGACCACCCCCTGCGCACCCCCTATGGTGTCGAGAAACTGCCACGCCTGCTACGGCCTGGACGACCGGCGCGGATAGGGGGACCACCCCGTGCGCACCCCCTATGGTGTCGAGAAACTGCCACGCCTGCTACGGCCTGGACGACCGGCGCGGATAGGGGGACCACCCCCTGCGCACCCCCTATGGTGTCGAGAAACTGCCACGCCTGCTACGGCCTGGACGACCGGCGCGGATAGGGGGACCACCCCCTGCGCACCCCCTATGGTGTCGAGAAACTGCCACGCCTGCTACGGCCTGGACGACCGGCGCGGATAGGGGGACCACCCCGTGCGCACCCCCTATGGTGTCGAGAAACTGCCACGCCTGCTACGGCCTGGACGACCGGCGCGGATAGGGGGACCACCCCCTGCGCACCCCCTATGGTGTCGAGAAACTGCCACGCCTGCTACGGCCTGGACGACCGGCGCGGATAGGGGGACCACCCCCTGCGCACCCCCTATGGTGTCGAGAAACTGCCACGCCTGCTGCGGCCTGGACGACCGGCGCGGATAGGGGGACCACCCCGTGCGCACCCACTATGGCGTCGAGAAACTGCCACGCCTGCTACGGCCTGGACGACCGGCGCGGATAGGGGGACCACCCCCTGCGCACCCCCTATGGTATCGAGAAAGTGCCACGCCTGCTACGGCCTGGACGACCGAGCTGTGCTGAGCTGAGCTGTGCTGAGCTGTGCTGAGCAGTGCTGTGCTGTGCTGTGCTGTACTGTGCTATGCTGTGCTGTGCTGAGCTGTGCTGTGCTGTGCTGAGCTGAGCTGAGCTGAGCTGTGCTGAGCTGTGCTGAGCAGTGCTGTGCTGTGCTGTGCTGTGCTGTGCTGAGCTGAGCTGAGCTGTGCTGAGCTGAGCTGAGCTGAGCTGAGCTGAGCTGTGCTGAGCTATGCTGAGCAGTGCTGTGCTGCGCTGTGCTGTGCTGTGCGAGAAGGAGAAGGGGAGGGGAGGGGGGAGGTGTGAGACGCGGGTGCGGCGCGGCAGGGAAGAAAACCAGAACCCCACGAAACATGTCTGGAAAAAACAGAAAGGGCGGATGCGGAGTGTCCGGCCGGTTTGTTCACACGTTGACTCGAGAGCGCACTGGGTTGGATACGGCACTGATGCATCAGAAGGGGGCAGGGGCGAAGTCCTTGCCACTAGATGGGGATTCCATTGCATGTCTGTCATTCATCTGTCCTCTTTCCCTCTTCATTCCCCATCAATCCCAATCCTATCTCATCCCATCCTGCTCCTCTCACCTTGCTGTTTGTGCTCTGTCGCCTTGCCCTCCAGAGCCGTTTTGGGGCAGAAGGGGTTTGTTCAATTTTGAATCGCACTCCCAGCGTTACTGAACGTATACCTTCGAGCCTCCAGCCCCCTTGAAAGCGGGCCCAATCGGGCCCATGCCGGGGCCATGGTGCAGATCAGGAGCCCTGGGCGACGGGGAGCTCCTCGCGGAGCTCATCGTTTCAGATATGATAGAGGCGGCCGCCTACGACGACGACGGGGCCCCTCAAGGTACGTACATACTTCGAGCACTTCATGGAGACTGCGCTCCGGAAGGGGGCGTGCTGCTCACAGCGTGCTACCTTGCAGCGGAAGACGACTATTATAATTTTTGGATGCGGTCTGGAGGCCGCCCAGAGAAGGAAGTCTACCACGTGTGCGCAGAAGGTGGCTGCAGGAAAGGTCCGCTCGGCCGGATCCACATCGAGTCCTGGAGGCCAGCAAGCCGCGAGGACATCGAGTTCGACAGGCTCGCCTGGGCGGCGAAGCCGGGGCTCAAGAAACGAATTCTTGAGGCCCTTGACGCGGCCAGCGCGGCTAGCCAGGAGGGCGGCGACAACGGCCGCGACGGGAAGGCGAAGCCGCCGGCCAGGGGAGAGTGGCCAGGCAAACGCCCGGCGGCGGACCCACTACAGGCTCGGGACAAGTCTCCGCCCGCTGGGCGCGGGGCCCCGGACGGAGCGCTGTGGGCTGGAGCCCGCCGCGTGCAGCCCCGAGGAGGGGTGAGGGAAGAGCTACACGAGCTCCGCGCGGGTCTGGAGGGCGGCGCCGGCCGTGACGGGGCAGACCGGCGAGGCCGCCCCCGCGGAGGCAGGAGCGCAACGCCGCGGGAGCGCGGGCGCAGGGGCCGCCAAGAGGGCGCCCCTGCCAGGCGAAGCCGTTCCCCCCGGGGAAGTGCGGACCGTCGCTGTGACGCGGCCCCCGCCGCCGGCGCAGGCGCGCCGGCGCCGCGCGGAGCCCCTGGCGCCCGCAGCCCGCGCCGCGAGGCGCCGAGCCTGCGCCGCAGGGAGCAGCGCAGCCCTCGCCGCGACGCCGCGAGGCAGCGAGCCCGCGGCGCGGCGAAGGGCCCAGCCCGCGCCGCCGCGAGGCACCGAGCCTGCGCCGCAGGGAGCAGCGCAGCCCGCGCCGCGAGGCAGCGAGCCCGCAGCGCGGCGCGGGCCCAGCCCGCGCCGCCGCGAGGCAGCGAGCCTGCGCCGCAGCGAGCAGCGCAGCCCGCGTCGCGAGGCAGCGAGCCCGCGGCGCGGAGAGCGGCCCAGCCTGCGCCGCCGCGAGGCAGAGAGCCCACGCCGCAGGGAGCAGGGCCCAAAGGAGCGGTCGAGAGACAGGTCCCACCGGCGCCGCCGCCAAATGCGGGCCCGCTCCAGCTGCAGCGACAGCGACGAGGCGGGTTTTCACAACGCCTCGACCCCAGGCGACCGCTCGAGCACCACGCAGGGGCGGTTGATGCGCTTTGCGCGCGAGAACCAAGGCAGGCTGGCCAGGAAGCTTCTCTGGAAGATGGCCAGCAAGGTTACTCCTGGGGGAGAGGCGGACTCCGACGACTCCGAGAACCAGACGGGGGCTGCGCCGGCAGTGGTTTCGTCGTACCACCTGAGGGTGCTCTCCACGCAGCAGCCGCCCCGCTCGAAGCGCAACTCGAACGAGATGCGCCTCATGTGCAAGATCCTCGACCTCCTCAGCCGCGAGAGGGTTTCCCGAGCCATGGACTTCGCAGCCCAGCACTTGAAGGCCATCGAGCAGTCGGTCACGGATGGGGGCTGGACCCGGGCCCGCTTTCTCGAGTTGTTCGAGGAGGAGGGGCCATCCTTGGTCAACAGGGGCGAGAAGTACATGATGCGAAAAGAAGTCAGAGCCGAGCAGCAACTTGCTCTCCGGAGCGGACCTGGCCCGAAAGGGGGGTCTAAGGGCAGGCGGTCAGACGACGCTGGCCCCGCGGGCTACGGGGCGACGGAGCACCGCGGCAAGGGCGAACCCTCCCACGGGAAGGGCTTCAGCTTCGGCGCGGCTTCGAGGAGCAAGGCGAAAGGGAAAGAAAAAGCGGGGAAGTGGTGGTGATAGATGACCGCCGCCCCCCGTGCCCACCCGCCCTGGATGTCGATTCTGGGAGCGCGGGAGAGCGCATTTTGCTTAGCTCTCTTGGCGATGGCTGCGGCCCGCCCGCCCTGGATGTCGATTCCGGGGGCGGGAGGGAGCGCACGGGGCACGAACGGCCTCGCCCGCCTGGCGGCGACTGGGGCCCGAACTGGACGTGGATTCCAGGGGCGCGGAGAAGCGCATTTTGCGCCAGCAGCCTGGCCGCCGCAGCCCGCCCGCTCTGGATTTCGATTCTGGGAGCACGGGAAAGCGCACTTTGCGCGAACAGTTTCACTCCACTTGCCTTCAACACGGTGCAAAAGTGCAAAAGCAAAAGCTCTTTCTAACGCTGTAAAGAATTCATCCGCACACGCCCCCTTCTTTCATCAACCCCCTCGTCCGCGCACTCCTCATTTTTCATGCGTTGGTTCAAAAGGAAGCGAAGTAGCCCTATCTACTGCGCTGCCAGTGGCGGATTGGCAAAATATAGCGAGAGACGAGTTGGACGCGTTAGTGACCGAGAACGAGCTGCGGGCCTTCTTCGAGGACGCTCTCCCTTTCCTGGACACGCCGCTGGGGCGGCACGCCTCGCTCGACCCTCCTTCAGGCACCCAGCCAGCGTGAGCACGCGCGGTCGCTGTCTGAAGCAGCGGGGCACGACGCCTCTCGCGCGCCCCACTGCCAGGCGGCAGTGGGGTGCATGACGATTGCCCTTAATTTCTTCGCACAAGCGGCCTGGGTGGACGATGCGAAAGGTGTCGCGGCACCCAGGCACCTGGCAAGCCTCACTAGCACGCAAAAGCACACCGCGACCCATCTCTGGGAAGCGGCAGCGGAGCTCCTGGCCGGAGGCGGCCCGGCGCCGTCCGCACAACAGGTCAGGGCGGATTTGGCTACTCGCCAAACGGACTACATGGGTGAGCCTGTCTCTGTGCGCAGGCAACTCGTCGCAGACAGGGTGCTGCCGGCGTGGCCGCGCGCAGGCGAAGCAGCCGCAGTGCCTGTCACGAGGTTCCTGGACGGGGAACTTCTCGAGGACGTCCTCAACCCGAGCTCCTGCCTCCTCCCTCGAGACGAATGGCCACGCGATCCTCCGCGTTCGCGAGTGTATGCCACGGATAGGGAATGGTACAGAATCGTCAAAGAAGGCGGGGCAAGGGGCATTTTCGCGGAGGTCCGAGAAGAAGCCACATTTCGCGATCCTTCGGGCCGGTTGGTCGTCAACGGAGCAATGGGCATTGACAAACCGCCCAAAACCACTGAAAAAGGGGACGTGCTATTGCGCTTCATTTCGATTTTCATACCTATCAATGCATATTTGCGCAAGCTCCGAGGAGATGACCACACCCTGCCTGTGGCGACGCTTTTGAACGCATGCGTCTTAGAGGACGGGGAAGAGTTTTGGGACGACGCCGAAGACCAAAAAGGGTGCTTCAACATCTTCCGGCTGCCGGAGGAGTGGTTGGGGTATTGCGCATATTCGAAACAAGTGCCTGCGTCAGCGTTCGGTGGGGATCCGAACAGGCTGGCTTGGGTCGGTATGCGCTGCGTCGCGATGGGCTCCAAGATCGTTGTTTCGATCATGCAGCGGGTCATGCGAGTTCTCGTGTTCGAAGAGTCCAGCGTCGACGCGGCCACGGAGCTCAGACGAGACGCGCCCGTGCCCGACGGTAGCGTAAGCGCGGTGTGTCTCGACGGCTTTGACTTCCTGCGGAAGGCCCAGTCGCGGCTCCAGAAACTCCAAGCGCCAGAGTCCGCAGAACATGTTGCCTTCGTAGGCACGTGCGCCCGGTATGGAATCCCCTTCAACCCTGCAAAACCATTTTTTGCTAAGCTCAACGCAGGTTTCCTCGGTGGTCTCCTGCGGGGAGACAAGGGCTGGCTGGCGGTGGCGCCGGACAAAGCCCGAGCACTTGCGTTCAAGGGCGCCGTCCTTGCCACAGAAGGCTCATGGAGTGCTGGCGCGCTCCAACATTGGGCCGGGCAGGCGTGCTTTGCGGCTGGTTTCCGCCGGCCGCTTTTCTCAGTGCTCGAACAGATCTTCCCTGCCATTCAGTTGGCAGCGAGCGGGCCTGTTCAGGCCAGCGCGGCAACCACGGACGAAATCATTGCCTTCACGTTGTCGTTGCCCCTGGCGTACACGAACTTGCGAGCGCAAGTGAAGAGAGCAATCTCGTGCACGGATGCGTCGGAGCACGGGGGAGGGGCAGCTGAGGCTACCGCCTTCATCCGTGCCCAGGACCCGCAGCGCGCCTCACGCTTTGAAACCCATTTTGCGCGACTAGCAGAAGACTCCGAGGAGGCGCTTGGGGAGTCTGCGCGTTGCGTCGTCTGCAATACCTCCCTGCCGACAGGCGCCGGCACGGGCGGCAGCGCACGATGTCCCGCGGCGTGCGGTGCGCTGATGTGTTCGGTGGAATGCGTGCTTGCGCACCGCCGCGTCAGTTGTGACCTAGCAGGGGAGAGGCTGCTCAGCTTCTTCGAGGGCCACTCTGGCCCAGGCGTTCCGCTTACGTGGGCCGTGGCCTGTTCAGGCGTGGAGATTTGTCTCCCACTCGACCCCTGCAGGGCCCCTTATTCGGAGGTGCTCCGGGAATCGGGGCGCAAGCACATCCGTCTGGAAGCGGATGACGAGTGCACAGCTTGGGAGCATTGGAATGCTTCCCCGGGAGGGGAGGCGCACTCGCGCTGCCCACTGCGGCCGGGCCGGAAAAGCCGTCGAAGCCAGCGCCCTGGCATTCGCCAGGTTGCACTGGAGGCTCACCAACTGGGGGTTCGCAGTCGTGTAGACTACCGCATCTAGCCCCCTGTGGTGGACCCCGGAAGCGCTGGCAACGCGCCGCCGCGCAGGGGTGTACGAAACAGCCGTAGTCATAGACTGCGAAGGCGCGCGCGGCCAACAAGAATGTTGGTTCCTGCATAATTGCCGAGCACTGTGCGCGGCCTTCCCAGGGGCACCGGGCCAGGCCACCCCAGAAGAGGCGTTCCGGACGGCATACGCCGATGCCGTCGCCCATGCTTTGAAAGAATTAGGCGCCCACGCTTTGCCTCTTCAGCCCAGCGTTAGACCAGAGTGGATTCACGACCAACTGGCGCAGACGCGCCGCTGAGCCCACAACGAAAGCTTGCATGATCTAGCCCAGGAAGTTGGGGCGATACTCCGGGAGATGGCCCCCGGGCAGGAGGAGACGCATCTGCGTTCCCTCCTCACGTGGGCAGACCCGAGGGGCAGCCACGTCTGGCTCGCCATTGGGGAGGTGGCCAACGTCCTCCAGACAGTGCCATACCCAGCTTTCGCATGAAAGTGGCCAACGATCATGTCTTATCCTTGGAAAGCTCACCAGCATATCAACGTGTTGGAATTAATCGCATATCTTAATTATGTCCGAAAGAAGTCTTGTACTCATTGCTTTCATTCGCTACGGTTCATCAGTGTCTTTGACAGTCAAGTCGCTACTGCCGTCGTCGCAAAGGGCCGGAGCTCCAGCCAGCGATTCAATCGTCCGCGACGCAAGTTAATGGCTTTTGAACTAGCAATGGATGTCTACTCCACAGGTGTCTCGACCATATCACCCTGGCAGTTCGCGGACGCCGCGAGCCGCCTGCACGGCCCAAATGGGGAAGCGTAGAGCAACGCAGCTGCGGGGCCAGGCGCCCCGCAGACACCTTAAGGAGATAGGCATCACAGAGAGAACAAGACAACGTTATCGGCAAGCTGTTTCATCATTTTTTTTCAATATTTACGGACACATGCGATACCAATCCCAGCGTCTGTGTCGGAGCTGGACGATTCCCTCGCTGAATACGTCAACCACTTGTGGATGGAGGGTGATTCTCACGGATATGCTGCTGACGCCATTTGCGGAATGGCCAGGTTGTATCCCAAAGCACGAAAAGCGCTACCTACAGCGCGACAGTACTTGCACAATTGGGACACGGTGCTGGAGAGGAAACGCGCCATCCCCTTGGACCCGGAGCTGCTCCGGGCCATGGTCGGGGCCGCAATGTCGCACCGTAGGGTCGATTGGGCGGCGCTCCTCCTCGCGGGATTTCTTGGCCTCCTCAGGACCAGTTAGATCGCGGGCCTCACGCCCGAGCACCTGCAGTTCAGCCCCGACGGGCGCAAAGTCATGATCATCCTGCACGACGCCAAAACGACAAAAAGGAAGAAAGGCGTCGAACACGTCTTCATTGAAGACAGCCTCGCCGTTGCGGCTCTGCGCGCGGCAGCGGCTGCGTGCCAATCGGACCAAACACTGTACACCAAAGCGGCCCGACACTTCACAAGCGAATGCAAATGGCTGTGTGGGTTGTTTCAGGCACAGGGCGATACGATCACCCCGTACGGGTTGCGGCGTGGAGGTGCAACGTGGTTCTGGCTCCTGTCCGGGCCCCTGGACAGGGTCATGGTAGTCGGGCGCCGGCAGCACGCCAGCACCGCCCGCATCTACATCGAGACGGCGGCCGCCGAGCTTGGCACTTGGAAGCACAGCAACCGCGTCGAATCGCTCATCCACCAGGCAGGGGAAGCTGGAAAAAGAGCGTTGCTGGCCGCTTGACTGGGGAGAGTGGCCTGCGGGGGGGCTTGGCGCACTGGAAGTGTCAAGGGGGCAGGTGGTTCGGGGGCTGGTGAGCACCCATGTGATTGGGTGTGGGACGCCTAAGGCCATTTTGGCTTCGCCCTCGGTCGCACCGGCGGCCTCCGGACCCTCCTCCGCAGGCGCGCGATCGCCAGAGCCCCCCTGTTCGCTACCTCAGCTGCGACGGTGGCGACAAGCACTCCCAGGGTCGAGCGAGCGAGGAAAATGTGTGAAACACATGCACAGCCCAGGTGAAGACACTGGCACAGCGCCACATACGACACAACCTGGACCTCGAGCACTTACGACAATGGCACAATAACCTATTACCTTACCAGGACAACGAACTCGCCCCAAGGCTCACTACCGAAGACGAACACAACGACAAGACCACCATGTGCGACGAATGTGGAGCCAGATTTACGGAGATCAACGCATTCTGCGCACACATGGGCAAGAACCATCCAAAAGACGACCACCCAACGAGATGGGCTCATAGCACGGGATGCATGACATGCTCCTACAATACCACACATTTGGACGACTCGTCAAGCACCTATTAGCATGCGAGGCATGCGCTGCACCCTGGAGAAGTAACGTGGACACACACGACGACGCAGCCATCGAAGCAAACAGAGAAGCTATACGAGACGAGCAGAGAGCCAACATTAGAGCTGGCCTACCCCCACCGCACGTACAAACAGCCAGCTACAAGACTGACATACCACAGCTGTACACCAAGGACTACGAGGCTACCAGAGAAGTACATAAACGTGCTGCAGTACCAGGCGAACCAAGACCTGAATCTGCGCCAATACCGACACCGCGAGGCACAACGAAGCAGGTGCTACTGCACCTCAGCGGGGGGCACAGGAGCAACGGCGGCGTGCAACAATGGATCGAACAGCTCAGCCACTACGGTGACAGCATAACAGCACTATCCATTGACATCACATGCGACGAGACTAAGAACGACCTCACGGCATGGGATACGGTACACTTCTGGAGAGGCCAGCTACTGCGCGGGCGGGTGGCCGCCATCATTGCGGAACCATCGAGCGAGACATGGAATGGATACCAAACTCGCCTTATGCGGAGCCCACAACATCCTTGGGGGCCACAGCATCTGCCCCCTAAGCAATTCGAACAACTACACACAGACAACAAGATATTGCGGACTACGATACTCCTGGCATGCACATGCATCAACACCAAGGTCCCCATGATTGCGGAGTTCCCCGCCACCGTCAACGACTGGATAAACACGGCAAGCTGTTGGCGACTACCAGAAGTTACAGACAGGGTGGGCATCGACGGAGTGGACCTCGTCACCTTCGACCAATGCACGACTGGACATACAGCAATGAGACCGGCAACAGTACTTACAATACAGGTACCAGAATCACGGCGTCTGATTGCACTACTACCCAACAACGGAAGATGCAATCACAGCTCAGGGCAAAGTCACAACCATATTGGGCATATCAATCATGGCAATCGGCAAAGGTACGGCGAGACGAACCACACCGCGGAGATGTGCAGACTCATGGTTTGCGCCATCACGGATTCCAGCTACCACATATGGACACGGTCAAGAAACCGCCAGGCTGGGGACCTTGAAGTCGACCAGATGACCTTCTACGCCCCCCCTAAACCCGTATTACTACACGTACTGCAGCAAGATACTACACGACCAAGTTCAAGGGGCAATGAGCACCCCAGGCAGGCGACAGATGATGGCCACCCCGCATATGCGGGCCACGGCGGTCCATTGCTTCGTATGCCTACAATACTCGCAGCAGTAGTTCTGGCACGCCTCACCGTGGCGTCCGGTCGCCCACTTAAAGGAGGCCCAGAAGAAAAACACCATGACCTGCACAATCTAAAATCTCACACTTGACCACCACAACCGCAGCGCTGCTTCGGCTCAAGAGCTGAGCACAGGCGACCCTGGGCACCTGGCGCCACCTTTGCCAAGAGCAGCACACCATGAAGCCTCATGTGGATATACACCCTCATAGGCTTACAGCACCTCATCAAGATCAAGAAGAAGACATCTGGATACCTACAGACGCGTTTGGCAAATTACCCAAGTTCATCGACATCACCGAGGCCAAGCTCAACTGCACCAACGGAGCCAAGGATTTGGACCACGCCAACCAGCAGCGAGTTGCAGTTATCAACGCAACCCCACGAAGAACAAGAAGCGAGGCACCACCTGAATAACAACAGGAAGAAATGCCGACCCTCATTGCCTACAGCAAGGGCTACGACAACAAGAAGGCGTCTATCTAAACACCAGGAGACCCCCAAGCAGAACCACAAATTGCGGCTCGTTGCACCGGCATCGCATGGCCATCCCAAGAAGTGACAAAGTACCAGCCACCACAGCCACAGGGACCACCACCAGGCAGAGCCCCGATACAAGCAACAACGACGACGCCGATTCCCCGATTTCCTTGTACGTCCGCAACCCAGCCGCTCCGCAAAGGTACTAACTAGGCGACACCCTGCGGCGCGACCCTGACCACTACGCAGTGCTCCCACCAAGATGGCAGGCCGTCGCCGACGTAAACAGGAGCCTCGCTTACTACCACAACATGCAGACAGGCGCCACCCCGTGGAAGTTCCCAGGCGACGTCGACTACGACCCATGTTGCACTTGGCAGCTAACGGACCAGAACGACAAGGCCTTCAGCATTGACAAGGACGGCTGCTTCTACCACAGCCTCAGGCCGATATTCCCACCCCCTAACGACCACCCCCCAATGCCAGAGCACCCCGTGAAACGAGAGCAGGTCGACAAAGCAATGACACAGACCATCCACGACCTACTCGGCAATCTGAGGACCCAACACCAACAGGAACAAACAGCGCGCGAATGGGTCGACCAGGCACACCTGTGGCACAGCGACATCGCAGGCGGCACCTTCTTCTCCCACCTCAAGGTCAACGTGGAACCCAGGCCGTTCCCCACATGCGGCAACAACATGCTAGTGGCCGCACCCATGCTTGAGGGAGGCCCGCACCCTCCAAGAGCCAGTCACATCACCCACCGTATCAAGCAGCTACGCAGCCCCAGACCAATACTTGCACCATACGACGACCACGGCACTTTCGACCGCGAGATACACATCGAGATACCACCGACTCGAGACGCTAGCACACGCGAAGCCACCATGCACAAGAACGAAGACACGACAATGACCGAGGACAACAACATGGCGCACCTACCTAAGGTCGAACCACCGGCGAACAACGCAGATGAATATACTAGCGCAACCTCATCAAACATAACACCAGCACCGACCCACAACCAGCAGCAACGACCAACACAGCATAGCGACACGACCCCAGCAGCGAAGCCTTCGAGATTCGAGGCACCACCCACCCTGCCGCCAGTCAGAGAAGAAGAAGCAGAGCAACCTACACACGTGATCGACGACGAGGTCAAGACCAGACAGCACGACCTTGACACACAGGAGCAGCTCACAACCAACAGGGAAACCTGTTGCCCCATTCCGAGGTCCAGCGACAGCACGCCAGCGCCAAGCGCCAACCAACCACGTGCCATAGAAGTCGTACCACAGATGCCCAGCGGCTTGCTCCCCATCACCACGATTACACACGAGCAGGTCAACCCCGACGCAATCGATTGCCCGATGGAGGCAGCCATGCGCCACTCGTTCCACACCAAGTGGCAGGACTCTCTCGAACACGACGCGACCACAGTGAACGAGGGGGACGAGGTCACAATCATCAGCATGTCCTACAACAGCAATAACGACCTATGGGCACGTGGCAACATTACCCAGACCAACGCCATGCGGAACACCAAGCAGTCTCTGATACCAGACATCACCACCGAGTACCAGTCCCACCACAACGACATCCAGGAGAAGCTCGACATCCTGGCGACAATGGTTGGCAAACAACTTGTCAGTTACAACCAGGCCCTCAACATCCAGTAGGAGATCACCCTGGCCAAAGAACCCATATCCAAGCTCACCGACAGCCTCAAGGACTCCATCGACAAACTACGCCCATTAACCTTGACGATAGCCGTTCTCGCCACAACCACCAAACGCTGGACGACCGCACGAGGTTCCCACGCGCCCGACGTCGTCACAGCCAACGAAAATTACCTCCCGACTTCCGACCCACGCTCCACAACCTAACTTCATCTCCGTCGTCATCAACAACATCCTTGTCTTGATGCACGATCACTTACTTCTGAACCGCAACCTCCTCATCGCCAGCAACTACATCCTCGTCCTGAAATAATTCCACCTCTCCAATTACACCCTTTGTCCTGACATACTTCCACAGCTGAAAGAAGGGGGAAGGGAGGGATGAGGATGGTCAGGTTCGTGAGGATGTTTGTGGTTATGGGGTGGGGGTGGGGAGGGGTGGGGCGGGCGCCGCCCGCACCGTCCCGCAGTCCCATCTCTCGTCCCCCCCTCCTCGTTCGGACCGACGTGCGTGCCCTTCCCTTTTCAACCTCCTCTTTCGGTCCCCCGTCCGCTTCTCCCCCCCATCGTTCGTGGTCGGCCCACCACAGGGGGCGGAGCGGCCCATTTTCGGAACGACCCCCTCCTGCGGCACCACACGGTATCCGCAGGAGGGGGCCATTGGCAGCATTTCTGAGGATCCACATGCCATTAGTATCAGTATCAGGAGGAGCAGATGGATGAGAATGAGGGATACAAGGAGGAGAGGGGCTGGGGGAGGAGGAGGTGGTGGAGGAGGAGGAGGAGCAGCAGCAACAGCAGCAGCGGTAGAAGAACAGAAAAAATAAGGAGGATTGGGAGGAGAAACAGGAGGAGCGGTGGAAGGGGGAGGTAGGCGGTTGGAGGGAGGATGAGGAGGTGGAGGAGGAGGAGGAGCAGCAGCAGCAGCGGCAGAAGAACAAGAATAATAGGGAGGATTGGGGTAAGAAACAGGAGGAGCGGTGGAAGGGGGAGGTAGGCGGTTGGAGGGAGGATGAGGAGGTGGAGGAGGAGGAGGAGAACACCCCTGCTGCCGCCCCGGCAGCACAAGGGCCGGGAGGCGCGCGGCAGTGGGAAGGGCGGGGCAGCTCGCCTCGAGCATCGCGCGGGGCGCCAGGCACGTTCATGGAGGTCGTCCCAGACCCGGTCGAGGGCGAGGGCCATTCGCGGAAGCGCTGTTGGAGCGAGGGCGACTTGGAAGAGTTGCGGGCGGCGACGATGGCCGAGGTGGAAGACGACGACGACGACGACGACGACGACGACGACAACGACGACGACGACGACGACGAAAACGACAACGACGACGACGAAAACGACGACGAAAACGACGACGAAAACGACGACGAAAACGACGACGACGACGACGACGACGACGACAGACGACAACCGTTTGGCGACATCGACGCCTTCTGCGCTTGGTGCATTTTTTGTTGTTACCCTAGGGGAGGGCCCTCGCCGCCACGATCGGATCCTGCTGGAAACGCGCTCCGGGTACGGGGGTCAGCTTTGAGACGACGACGACGCCGACGACGACGACGACGACGACGACGACGACGACGACGACGACGACGGCGACGGCGACGGCGACGGCGACGGCGACGGCGACGGCGACGACGGTGGCGGCGGCGGCGGCGGCGCAGCACCGGCGACGAAGAAAGCGACGGCGACGGCGACGACGACGACGAAAACGGCAACAACTGAGGCGGCAACGACGACTGCCACCTCAAGGCCCAATAGAGGCCAAAACATCCAAAAATCCTCGGCCCCCCTCGACGACGACGACGACGACGACGACGACGACGACGACGACGGGAGAACCGACGAGGGGCCGCCAAGGTGGACATGTTGGACCCTTAGGTGTCGCCAGGGGCGGTAGCCGAGGTGCATTTTTGTTGGAGTTGTTTTGTTAAGCTCGTGGTCCTTTGGCCACCCTGACCTCCCCAGATCTACGATGCTTCAGTTGGTCCGACCCTTCTGTGCTGTCCTCCGTTTAAGCCTCTGGTCGCCCCTCTCGGGCCTCGCGGCGGGCATAGCATTGGTCGGGGGGGGGGGGGAGTGACCCTGGGTAAGAGTGACCTTTGGTGCGCGGCTTTTTTGGGGGGCCGCGGGGGGACCAAACCTGGGCGCGCAAGCAGCTGCTACTGCTTCGTTTTCAGCCACCTGGGGACCCATCTGTGCCCGCACCAGAGGTCACTCCTGCGAAAGGTCACTCTTGCGTCTAGTCGAAAGGGGTCGAGAGGTCAGGGGGCCACGCCTTGGACAAGGCAAGCACCACGTCAGGAGGTCTGGGCAGCCCAGACCTCCTGAGGTGCTCGAGGGCTTCCGGAACTTCCCCCTCGGTCTCGGCGGTTCTCGCTGCCGCGGCTGGACGCAGGTCGGAACACGGGTCGGGATGGTGCCCTGGAAGGGTCTGAGGCTCGATGCTAGGAGGGAGGAGGAGGAGGAGGAGGAGGAGGAGGAGGAGGAGGAGATGTTGAGTGGATCCTCGTCGGAGGTATGCCATCTGAGCCTTGCGTCGTGAGAAGCCCCGGGGCCCGCAGCGGGCTGGTGCGGCTCGACGGTGTGACGCGGGGAGGTGGGTCTCGGGAGTTTCGGTCGCGATCCATGGCGCTGTGTTTCGTTCGGCGGCGAATGGTCGAGTAGGGGATCGACGACAGAATTGGCTTACCCCAGAATTGATTTTCCGTCGAGGCTACGAAAGATTGTTCAGTAGATCTACAAAGCATTACAAGTTGGTCGTATATTCGGCGAATCAGAATTGTAGGGTAAATCAATGTTGTAGTCGATCCCCTACTCGACATGGGGGCGGGGAAGGCGGGGAAGCTGGGTGCGTCCGAGTTTGGCCAGCCTGGGCGAGGGCCTGGATGCGTGTTGCCGTGTGTCTTTGCAGCGTTCGGCCCCTGGTGCGGCTTGGTGGCTCCAGGCCTCCGCATGGCCTCCGCGAGTCCCGCGCGTGTGCTTCCGGCTTCCAGGTAGGAGAGGCTGCGGTAGGCTCGCACCGCGTTGACGCGGCGGCGACGAAAGTGCCACACTCAAGGCTGAACGGCACTGGTGGCCTGGAATCGGCCGACGTCGAACGAGCTGCGCAACCGGAAAGGCGCGACCTTTCCAGGTTGAACAGTCCACGCGGTGTTGGATAGCAACTCCAACGTCATCGGGGCCCCGGAGCAACCAAATCCTTATCCTCCTCTTCCTCCTCCTCCTCATCCTCCTCCTCCTCATCCTCCTCGTCATCCTCCTGGTCCCCCCTCCTTCTCTGCGACAAACTTCACCGCGCTCGCGGGGGGGGAGAGAGGGAGGGGCGAGACTCTCCCGAGAATCAAAGTCCGTCGGATGCATCAGCGCTGCGGAAGTTTCGACCCGTTTCGTCTTCGCGATGTTCACGTTGATTACGGTCCGATCTTTCGGAAGGAAGGCTGCGGCAGAGTCTGCAAAGCGACCGCGAACCCGCACGACATCCCTAACGGGATTTCGGACGACTTCGTGACAACTTTGAAGGCAGCGCAGCGCTGTCTGCAAAGCGGTGATGGACTTGCCCGACATCTCCGCTGGCGCGATGACATGTTCCATTCGTTTCGTACTGCACTGTGCTATATGTTGGTTAACTTTGGGCCCAGCAGAAGGCTATATGCAGCTGTTTCTTCGAAGCGGTAACGAACTCGTCCGAAATGCCTATTGGCGCAACGAGAGTTCCCACTCGTTTCGCAGGTAGAAATTTGGCGTCACGGTGGTGGATAATATCGGATCGATCAATAGGCAGGCGCTAGCGTGACGCCCTGGCAGTATTTGTTGGCCAGTCCGGCTACATTCTGGAAGCGTTCGGTACGCCGTTCCATATGATGCCATGCCGTGGGAAGACGCGTCGATTTGCTCGGCTGCCCATGCCGTATGCTTGCTCTCAGTTGGCACACCGAGCCGAAATTGTTCGATCCTGGTCGATCTCGTTAATTGTTAAGAAGCCCAAATAGAAGCCGCCGATTCGACGCGCCCATCCCAGGGAAGGCATGTCTGACCAAGCGGCCACGGTGCCAAGGGGTGCCCCCTTGGGTGTCTGCTTTGTGTAGGTTCCGTCGGTTTGACAGACAGCACGCCACCTTTTCATTCGGGAGTGGGAAGGGACGGCATCTATCGTCACCAAGCCTCCACGGGTCCCCAGTCGAATCATGATTTTCTGAAACCAACACTAGCACAACAACAACAACAACAACAACAACAACAACAACAACAGCAACAGCAACACTAACAACAACAATAACAATGATAAGAATAACAACAACAGCAGCAACAACAACAACAACCATAACAACAACCAAAACAACAACCAGAGCAGCAGCAGCAACAGCAAGCATGATACGACGTGTCGTGCTTCATGCCCCCTGCACCAGTCAAAATATAGACCCCAAGCCCTCGTCTCCCGCCCTCTTCGTTCATGAACGTCCCGCTGTGGCAGGTTTCCTGTTGGATGCCAGCTCCCGTGTAAACCCCGCCAGGGTAACATAAACGGGCCGGGCAGGCGGACCCCAGCGGGCGGTTCGGGCGAACCGACCGGAGCGAGCGGGCTGGGCGGACCTTGCCACGCCGGACGCGCAGGCTGGACTTCAGGGCGGGCGGACCTCGAGAGGGGGGGGGGGGGGGAGCGGGCGGGCGGGACCGCAGCTGGCAGGGCGGGCGGTTCCCAACGGACGGGTCGGCGGGCGGACCCTAACGAGCGGTCCGGGCGGGCGGGGCATCAGAGCGTGATTGTTGGATGGTTTTGGGGGAGGTATCGGGCGAGAGCGCGATTCCGAAGTAATGTGTGAGGAAGCGTTGGGCGAGAGTGCTTTTCCTGAGCAGAGAGCGCGCGATCCCGCTTCAAAATGCGATGAAGCCCTAAGCGAAAGCACGATTCCTGAGCAGCTAGAGCGCGGTTCTTGAATAGGCTGTGAGGAAGTCCCAGGTGAGCGCGCGATTCTTGAGCAAATTGCGACGAAGCTTCGAGCAACAGCGCGGTATTAGAATAAGAAAGTGCGCCAGTGGATCTCCCTGAATACACTAAAGGGGGGGAGGGGGGGGGTCCAGAACCCCCCCCCTTCCCCCCCTTCAAGGGGGGGAATGGTCCGCATCCCCCCCCCCCTTCCCCTCCCCCCCTCCCTTGGAGGGGGGGGGGGTCCGGAACCCCCCCCCCTCCCCCCCTTGGCGCTGGAAAGGGGGGGGGGGTTCGGACCCGAAATGGAACGACTTACAACCGACTGGTCCCAATTCCAACCGTTCGGAGCGAATTGCAACCAGAAATGAGACAATTGCAACCAGAAATGAGACCAATTACAACCATGGATGGGATCTCAGCCACCGCCAGCCTTATTCAGAGGTGCTTCTCGGCACGCTCCGCCCCCTCGTCGCTGCTTGGCAGTTGGTTGGTGGCCTGGTTGGCTGGCTGGCTGGTTCGTTGGCTGGTTGGTTGGCCGGTTCGTTGGTTGGATCGTTGGCTGGTTGGTTGGTTCGTTCCCTGGTTGGTTGGTTTGTTGGTTGGCTTGTCGGTTGGGTTGTTGGTGGCCTACAGGTGTCTACAGGCTGCCGCGAGCGGCCCCCAAGTGCAGCGCACGGCGTGACGGCAGCTATCATACACAGTTTTGCTTGCCTACTACTACTACTACTACTACTACTACTACTACTACTACTACTACTACTACTACTACTACTACTACTACTACTACTACTACTACTACTACTACTACTACTACTACTACTACTACTACTACTACTACTACTACTACTACTACTACTACTACTACTACTACTACTACTACTACTACTACTACTACTACTACTACTACTACTACTACTACTACTACTACTACTACTACTACTACTACTACTACTACTACTACTACTACTACTACTACTACTACTACTACTACATACTACTACTACTACTACTACTACTACTACTACTACTACTACTACTACTACTACTACTACTACTACTACTACTACTACTACTACTACTACTACTACTACTACTACTACTACTACTACTACTACTACTACTACTACTACTACTACTACTACTACTACTACTACTACTACTACTACTACTACTACTACTACTACTACTACTACTACGACTACTACTACTACTACTGCTACTGCTACTATTACTACTACTAATACTACTACTACTACTACTACTACTACTACTACTACTACTACTTACTAATACTACAAATTAATACTATACTCACTACTACATACTACTAATATTACTACTACTACTACTACGACTACTTACTAGTACTAACGAATACTACTACAATTTCTACTACTACACTACTACACTATTCTATTCTACTTCTACTCGAATTTCTATTGATACGAATACTATTGCTATACTACTACTATACTATTACTCCCCACTAACTAACACTACACTACCACTACGACTACTACTATACTACTATTACTTAATACAAACCTACTAATCTACTATACTACTACTACTATACTACTACGATACGACCTACTACTACTACTACTATACGACGACGACGACGACGGACGACGACGACGACCGACGACGACGACGCGACGACGACGAAGACTACTACTACTACTACTACTATTAATACGACTACTACGACTACTACGACTACTACTACTACTACTAATAATACTACTACTACTACTGCTACTACTACTACGACTAAGACTACGACTACTACTACTACTACTACTACTACTACTACTACTACTACTACTACTACTACGGCTACTACTACTACTACTACTACTACTACTACTACTACGACTGCGACTACTACTACTATTGCGAGTACTACTACTAATATTACTACTACTACACTACTTATACGTACTACTAA